CGTATACGCCCTGGAATTGGCATTTGAGATCGAATGTATTTCGTAAATCTGAAAGCAGTTTTATTACTAGGCTTTGATCAGTTCCATATGAGCAAGGCCTATTAATAACATCGTCCAGAGAGAACAGCTGGATATCATCTGACTTTCAATTTTGCTGTCAAGATACATTATTGTGAATGGACTTCCATTATGAAATCGTAAACAACTTTCAAATTTGACGTTCAAACTGTTTCTTCTCTGGAATTGGCATTCGAGATCAATGTAAATCGTATATCTTAAAGCAGTTTTATTACTAGGCTTTGATCAGTTCCATATGAGCAAGGCCTATTAATAACGTCGTCCAGGGAGAACAGTTGGATATCATCTGACTCTCAATTTTGCTGTCAAAATACATGATTGTGAATGGACTTCCATTATGAAAACATAAACAACTTTCAAATTTGACGTTCAAACTGTTACTTCTCAAGTCTAATGTAAAAAATTTCATAATGGAAGTCAATTCACAATAATGGAATTTGACAGCAAATCTGAGAGGCAGCTGATATTCGGCTGGTCGCCCTGGATGATCTTATTAGTACACCTTGTTTTGTTTCTTATATGACCTGTTTAATGGGCCTTGACATAGCCTATTAACATTGCACAATCAATAGGTAGTCCATTTAGCTCAGCTGATGTCTCGATTAACTGTCAAAGTGCGTAATTTCTACTTGAATTCGATGTGCAGAGTTGCCAACCATTTGAAATATTATATGGAAACATTTGACAGATAATCGAGACAAAAACAAAGGTTTTTGTTTTGATACATCACCTTATTGCATCATGCCTATTAATGTGGTCATCAAGGAAGAGCAGATGTATATCAGCTGCTTCTCAAGCTTGAGATGCAGCTGATATGCAACTGTTCTCCCAGGATGACCTTATAATAGGCCTTGCCTTGGCCTTCTAAATAATTTGGATCGTCTATAGAGACTCCTTTCAAAACTTGTCTTGAGAGACTCCCTCCAGTTTGTCTACAGATCTTCACTTCAGGTTCTTTAGAAGGACTCCCTATAGAGACTCCCTTCAGCCTGGTCTAGAGAGACTCCAGTCAGTTCGACTCCCTTCAGCCTCGTCTAGAAAGAACCTCTCAGCTCGTCTATATATATATTCCATCTAGCTCTTGTATAAGAAATTTTTTTAAGCTCGTCTACAGAAGCTCTTTGACTTCGAAACTTCTACAAATAATTTCCTGCAAAACCCTCTCTATTTAACTTAATCAACTGTTGTACACGTTACACCCTATTATACGTTATAAAAAAATAAAATATCCCCAAAAAATAAATCACTTCCAAAGGCATGTGAACTAAGAAGGAACATCGCCAATACAATGGGGGAAACTATGCTGTTACTATGTCAAGAATAGAACGAACATTAATAAAAGCCAAGGAACAAGAAAAAAGGGAATTTTAAGTCATCGAGAAGGACTCTTATGTGTTGGTGACACACACACACCTGCAGTAGAAGCACTTGGTGGATGGAGTGAGTAGACAATGGTCATATGGAGAACATATAGCGAAATGGATGCGCAAAATGGTCGTATGCATTTGGAGAGTGCAAACTGGCTGGCCCTCAAATGACATTTCCATGCATGGGACTTGGTGACTGCACCCCAAAAGAAATTTCTCTCCAATAAAACAAAAGAGAGAACTTTGAGAAAGAGTGAGAGAATTTTGCATCGGCTTTTATTTAACGACGAATGTCACCAGACATCGTGCATCATTATGGAAATTGATTTTTCCTTGTCTTGCCATTCTGCCGGTAGCTTAAGAATAGCAACAACACCAACAACACATGACCAGAGCATTTTGTTGCTGCTTGAGGAAACTGAAACGAGAACGCGAAATATGCTCTACAACTCTTCTTGTGTTTTCCTGCTTTCCATTGCACATGCCAGCACTTGCCGGCCTCATTCATTTCATGGTACCGGTCTGTGGCAAGGATGAAATGAGCCCTTATGCTTCTTCTTTTACTTCTTGTGTGGAATTTTTATTATGCGGCTGGGGGAAAGAGGATCTGTAACTGCTGCAATTTTGCAAATAATTGCTCTTGTTCGCTCTCTCTCTCGCTCTCTTTGCATGGGGATAAAATAGAGCGCCTTTCCCCACACAAGCTCGCACTCACACATAAACAATTATTGATTTTCCGTATAGAGAAAAATCACGAATACCACTGCCAGATTTTAACGAGGAAAAAGCCAACAAAAATTTGTGAACATTTCCAATTCAGTCTGACTTACGGAAACACAAAGAATCTACCATAACGGCAGCAGGGCAAAGCAATTTTTTTTAAATTAAAAAAATTTAAACGGTAATAAATTTTTAAGGAATTTTTTTAAAGGAAATTATTTAAAAATTTTAAATTAATAAAATAAGGAAAATATTGTGAATGAAATTAATTAATAATTTTAATGGAAAATTGCAATTCAATAAAATTTGAAAATTTTTCCGGAAGACTTGAAAGTGTAATTTGCAATTTCTTTTTTTCAATTTTTTTTTTATAAATTAAAGTAATTTCTTTAATAATTTTTATTATTAAAATTATATAAGTGTTTCCATCTCCTGTTTTTTTTTTTAATATTTTCCAGTGCTTTTGGTGACAAGTTTCTTCGGGTATACCAGCAAATAACGGTTAATTGTGCTACTTTTTCTTTGTAATAAGCGGCATAGATAAAAAGTGTAAGTATTTCCATTATTTCTTCGCCCCATTCCCAAGAATATCTATACAGACAATTTACACACACACACCTAAACAACAAATACATATATATTTGTATATACATACATACAGTTTTATAAAATAACGGTATAGCGAAAGACAATCGTTTCCGTATTCGGCTTTGTGAATAAGTCTTTTTAAAGATGAGGTTATGAGTTACCCCCTTTACAAATTCTATGATTTTAAACACACAACGAATTTAAGGTTATGTTTCCACACGTATTGTCAAGAAGAAAATAAGAGATAATTAATATTTTTTGGGTTCGGAGACCTTTGATATGTTTTAAAATTGAATGAAACCTGAACAATAAGTTCTATATTCTCAATTGATATTAGCCTTAATGTGGTCAGACCACACATGAAACTTTCATATGTCACGAAGACGTGACGATGTGTCATCACTGGAACTTCATTCAGCCAGGATAAATAAAAGTTCAAGCTGCCTGAATGTGTTTTCTTTAACGAAATTTTAAATTCAGCCTGGCTGAATAAGGTTTTCTATAGAAAATATTCAATTCAGGCTGGCTGAATAAGGTTTTCTATAGGAAAACTTCAATTCAGCCAGGCTGAATAAGGTTTTCTGTAGAAAAAATTCAATTCAGTCAGGCTGAATAAGGTTTTCTATAGAAAATATTCAATTCAGTCAGGCTGAATAAGGTTTTCTATAGGAAAACTTCTATTCAGCCTGGCTGAATAAGGTTTTCTATAGGAAAACTTCTATTCAGCCTGGCTGAATAAGGTTTTCTATAGGAAAACTTCTATTCAGCCTGGCTGAATAAGGTTTTCTATAGGAAAACTTCTATTCAGCCTGGCTGAATAAGGTTTTCTATAGGAAAACTTCTATTCAGCCTGGCTGAATAAGGTTTTCTATAGGAAAACTTCTATTCAGCCTGGCTGAATAAGGTTTTCTATAGGAAAACTTCTATTCAGCCTGGCTGAATAAGGTTTTCTATAGGAAAACTTCTATTCAGCCTGGCTGAATAAGGTTTTCTATAGGAAAACTTCTATTCAGCCTGGCTGAATAAGGTTTTCTATAGGAAAACTTCTATTCAGCCTGGCTGAATAAGGTTTTCTATGAAAAGGTTTCAGCCTGGCTGAATAAGGTTTTCTATAGGAAAACTTCTATTCAGCCTGGCTGAATAAGGTTTTCTATAGGAAAACTTCTATTCAGCCTGGCTGAATAAGGTTTTCTATAGGAAAACTTCTATTCAGCCTGGCTGAATAAGGTTTTCTATAGGAAAACTTCTATTCAGCCTGGCTGAATAAGGTTTTCTATAGGAAAACTTCTATTCAGCCTGGCTGAATAAGGTTTTCTATAGGAAAACTTCTATTCAGCCTGGCTGAATAAGGTTTTCTATAGGAAAACTTCTATTCAGCCAGGCTGAATAAGGTTTTCCATAGGAAAACTTCTATTCAGCCAGGCTGAATAAGGTTTTCTATAGGAAAACTTCTATTCAGCCAGGCTGAATAAGGTTTTCTATAGGAAAACTTCTATTCAGCCAGGCTGAATAAGGTTTTCTATAGGAAAACTTCTATTCAGCCAGGCTGAATAAGGTTTTCTATAGGAAAACTTCTATTCAGCCAGGCTGAATAAGGTTTTCTATAGGAAAACTTCTATTCAGCCAGGCTGAATAAGGTTTTCTATAGGAAAACTTCTATTCAGCCAGGCTGAATAAGGTTTTCTATAGGAAAACTTCTATTCAGCCAGGCTGAATAAGGTTTTCTATAGGGAAGCTTCAATTCAGCCGGGCTGAATAATTTTTTTCTATAAGAAACTTCAATTCAGCCAGGCTCAATAAGTTTTTCTATAGAAAAACTTCTATTCCGACTGGCTGAATAAGGTTTTCTATAGGAAAACTTCAATTCAGAAAGGCTAAATTGGGGTTTTTATACAAAAAATGCTTCAGCGATGCTGAGATCTATTCAGATTGACTGATGAGAGGGTAGGCATTAACAAAAATTACATTCAGCCTTTCAGATTGGCTGAATGTAATTTTTGTTAAAGCTTAGAATTTCTTTAAAATTAATTTAATTAAATGACATAACCTCAAAATCCCTTCAAAGGAAACATTTTTCTTATTTTAATTTCCTTCGTTTTTTTGTCTCTTCATATTTTTTCAGCATCGACGCCAGGCTTCGTAAAAAAACAGGAAAAAAAGCCGAACAACAATTTCTTTTATTTTCATCATTTTTTGTGTTTTTAGTGATTGAATCGGGAATTTTCTCTGCTAACACTTTTCGTTCAACATGGGTAAGGAAAAGATTCATATTAACATTGTCGTCATTGGACATGTCGATTCCGGCAAGTCAACCACTACCGGTCATTTGATTTACAAATGCGGTGGCATTGATAAGCGTACCATTGAAAAGTTCGAAAAGGAAGCCCAAGAAATGGGCAAGGGTTCCTTTAAATATGCCTGGGTTTTGGATAAGCTAAAGGCCGAACGTGAACGTGGTATTACCATCGACATTGCCCTGTGGAAGTTCGAAACGCAAAAATACTATGTGACCATCATTGATGCCCCCGGCCATCGTGATTTCATTAAGAACATGATTACCGGCACCTCGCAAGCCGATTGTGCCGTCTTGATTGTTGCTGCCGGTACCGGTGAATTTGAGGCTGGCATCTCTAAGAACGGTCAGACTCGTGAGCATGCCTTGTTGGCCTTTACATTGGGCGTGAAGCAATTGATTGTGGGTGTGAATAAAATGGACTCCACCGAACCGCCGTACAGTGAGGGACGTTATGAGGAAATCAAAAAGGAAGTATCATCGTATATTAAGAAAATCGGCTATAATCCGGCCGGTGTTGCATTTGTACCGATTTCCGGCTGGCATGGCGATAATATGTTGGAGTCGTCGGATAAAATGCCCTGGTTCAAGGGATGGACTGTCGAGCGCAAGGAGGGTAAAGTTGAGGGTAAAACTTTAATTGATGCCTTGGATGCCATTATGCCGCCATCACGTCCCACCGATAAGCCGTTGCGTTTGCCATTGCAGGATGTTTATAAAATTGGTGGTATTGGTACAGTACCAGTGGGTCGTGTTGAGACGGGCATTCTAAAACCAGGTAAGTTTTTGCAAATTTTGCTTTTTTGTTTTTGTTTGCAGTTAATAAAGTGGGTTAGTTGGGTTAGCAGGGTAAAACCATTGCAATATGCAATTGTGGGTGTATGTGGAAGCTTTCATGGTGTTTGGGGGTTTTGTTTAGTATGTATCCATTGCACCTAACCATGGTGTGTGCTCTCTCAGAGAGTATTCATGTATTCATGTGGTCTAAAGAGAGATAGAGACTGACACTTGCATTTGCTTCCTTTTTAATTATCATATTGTTTGTTCTTGTGTTCTCTTTCCCTAGGCATGGTGGTCAATTTTGCTCCTGTCAATTTGGTAACTGAAGTCAAGTCCGTGGAAATGCATCATGAAGCGTTGTCCGAAGCTTTGCCCGGTGACAATGTGGGCTTCAACGTTAAGAACGTTTCGGTTAAGGAATTGCGTCGTGGCTATGTTGCCGGTGATTCTAAGAATTGCCCACCCAAGGGGGCTGCCGATTTTACTGCCCAGGTAAGTGCATGTTTAATTCATCGAATGGTTCTATAAAATTTGAAAAGAAATGAATGTGTGTAAATGAATGAGTGTGAATTTTATTTGATATTTTTTTTTTTAAAAAAGCTACTTGATTCGAAATGAATAAGGTTTTCTTTGGGAAAACCTCTATTCAGCCTGGCTGGATAAGGTTTTCTATGGGAAAACTTCTATTCAGCCTGGCTGTATAGGGTTTTCTATGGGAAAACTTATATTCAGCCTGGCTGTATAGGGTTTTCTATGGGAAAACTTCTATTCAGCCTGGCTGTATAAGGTTTTCTATGGGAAAACTTCTATTCAGCCTGGCTGAAAAAGGTATACTATAGAAAAACTTCTATTCAGCCTGGCTGAATAAGGTTTTCTATAGGAAAACTTCTATTCAGGCTGTTTGAATAAGGTTTTCTATAGGAAAACTTCTATTCAGCCTGGCTGAATGAGGTTTTCTATAGGAAAACTTCTATTCAGCCTGGCTGAATGAGGTTTTCTATAGGAAAACTTCTATTCAGCCTGGCTGAATGAGGTTTTCTATAGGAAAACTTCTATTCAGCCTGGCTGAATGAGGTTTTCTATAGGAAAACTTCTATTCAGCCTGGCTGAATGGGGTTTTCTATAGGAAAACTTCTATTCAGCCTGGCTGAATAAGGTTTTCTATAGGAAAACTTCTATTCAGCCTGGCTGAATAAGGTTTTCTATGGGAAAACTTCTATTCAGCCTGGCTGAATAAGGTTTTCAATGGGCAAACTTCTATTCAGCCTGGCTGAATAAGGTTTTCAATAGGAAAACTTCTATTCAGCCTGGCTGAAAAAGGTTTTCGATAGGAAAACTTCTATTCAGCCTGGCTGAATAAGGTTTTCTATGGGAAAACTTCTATTCAGCCTGGCTGAATAAGGTTTTCAATGGGCAAACTTCTATTCAGCCTGGCTGAATAAGGTTTTCAATAGGAAAACTTCTATTCAGCCTGGCTGAAAAAGGTTTTCGATAGGAAAACTTCTATTCAGCCTGGCTGAATAAGGTTTTCTATAGGAAAACTTCTATTCAGCCTGGCTGAATGAGGTTTTCTACAGGAAAACTTCTATTCAGCCTGGCTGAATGAGGTTTTCTATAGGAAAACTTCTATTCAGCCAGGTTTTCTATAGGAAAACTTCTATTCAGCCTGGCTGAATGAGGTTTTCTATAGGAAAACTTCTATTCAGCCAGGCTGAATAAGGTTTTCTATAGGAAAACTTCTATTCAGCCTGGCTGAATAAGGTTTTCTATAGGAAAACTTCTATTCAGCCTGGCTGAATAAGGTTTTCTATAGGAAAACTTCTATTCAGCCTGGCTGAATAAGGTTTTCTATGCAAAAACCTCTATTCAGCCTGGCTGAATAAGGTTTTCTATACGAAAACTTCTATTCAGCCTGTCTGAATAAGGTTTTCTATACGAAAACTTCTATTCAACCTGACTGAATAAGGTTTTCTATGCAAAAACTTCTATTCAGCCTGGCTGAATAAGGTTTTCTATACGAAAACTTCTATTCAGCCTGGCTGAATAAGGTTTTCTATACGAAAACTTCTATTCAGCCCGGCTGAATAAGGTTTTCTATACGAAAACTTCTATTCAGCCTGGCTGAATAAGGTTTTCTATACGAAAACTTCTATTCAGCCTGGCTGAATAAAATTTGCTATAGGAAAACTTCTATTCAGTCCGGCTGAATAAGGTTTTCTATAAGAAATCTTCTATTCAGCCTGGCTGAATAAGGTTTTCTATAGGAAAACTTCTATTCATCCTGGCTGAATAAGGTTTTCTATAGGAAAACTTCTATTCAGCATGGCCGAATAAGGTTTTCTATAGGAAAACTTCTATTCAGCCAGGCAGAATAAGGATTTCTATAGGAAAACTTCTATTAAGCCTGGCTGAATAATGTTTTCTATAAAAAATTTCTATTCAGCCTGGTTGAATAAGGTTTTCTATAAGAAAACTTCTATTCAGCCTGGTTGAATAAGGTTTTCTATAGGTAAACTTCTAGTCAGTCTTGCTGAATAAGGTTTTCTACAGGAAAACTTCTATTCAACCCGGCTAAATAAGGTTTTCTACAGGAAAACTGCTATTCAGCCTGAATTTTATTTAATATTTTTTAAAATTTTCTAAATTAAGTTTCGGATTCCTTCGTTTTGAATTTCCCAGAAACCCTTTGTAAATTTTTATTTCGTTTTATTATTATTCTTTTTTTTAATTTTTCAAATATTTTATTTAGGTTATTGTCCTCAATCATCCTGGCCAAATTGCCAATGGCTATACCCCTGTCTTGGATTGCCATACCGCTCACATTGCTTGCAAATTTGCCGAAATCAAGGAGAAATGTGATCGTCGTACCGGTAAAACAACCGAAACCGATCCGAAGGCCATTAAATCGGGTGATGCCGCCATTATTATGCTGGTACCCACCAAACCGTTGTGTGTTGAATCTTTCCAAGAATTTCCACCATTGGGACGTTTTGCTGTGCGCGATATGAGGCAAACTGTCGCTGTGGGTGTCATCAAGTCGGTGACATTTAAAGAGACGACTTCGGGTAAAGTCACAAAAGCCGCTGAGAAGGCCCAAAAGAAGAAATAACTAGGGAGCAGCCAGAAGAATATGCAACAACAACAAACAAACCAACAACAGCAAAATGTTATACCACAACAACAACAAGAAGAAAATGAATATCAATTTCTGTTCCCCCAAAAAGAGGAAGGATGGATGGCATATGAAAACTCATTTAATAAGCATAAATATAAAAATAAGAATATTAACAATAACAACAACAAAACCAAAATCATCATAAACAACAATAATAACAACATTAATAATATTATAAAATTTATTCAAACAACATTTAGTGATTATAACAAGAACAACAACAACCAAAATCATACAAAAATTACACTCCAACAACAACCACACCAGAATTCATCACAATTTATTCCACTGGATATTATGCAAGAAAATCCAAAATACTCACCCAAAAACAACAACAAAAACACTACAACAACTACTACTGGCAGCCTTCAATATTTTCAATTTTATGGAAAACCACCATCAACATCCGCATTATCATCAACATCATCCAATCATTTTAGAAGCATAGAAAAGACATTAATTCCTAATAACAAACTTACAACAACAACACCAATATCATCATTATCATTCCTTGATTCCTTACAACTTGGTTTACAGTCACTTTCTCAAGATGCATCCCTCATGGCCATCACTGTCATCATTATTCTCATCAACAGAAACATCAACAACAACATCATTATTAAGAATTATGAAGAAGATTTTACTAAAAATTTGGAAAGCATTTTAATACAACTTTTTATAGAATTTTTCCTAATTTATTATTACACTAATTATTTGTATCTAAATTTACACAGACATCGTAAATCGTTTCGCAGGAAATCCATGACATCATCCGTATCATCATCATCATCATCATCATCATCATCATCGACAGCATTCTCTTGCCGCCGCACAGATCTCTCCTTGTTTTGTCATCATCATCGGATAATGCCAATTAATAACGCCATTGTGAATGGTTTATAATCATGACCCAAGGCATGTTATCCCATCTCAATACTCAAAAACAGATGAGATATACAATAACGAGAAAATAAATCTCAAAATCAAATGTATCACAAAATCATGACATACATCCAACACGACATCACACGACATTCATCTCTCTCATCCTATGCAATATTTATTTTTTTGTAATGCAATCAAAACATTGTTTTGAAATTTTATTTCAAATTAAAAAACCCCAAAAATTGTTTTGTTTTTTTATTGCTTACAAGAAAGAAAAAAAACTTCAATAATAATTTGCTTAGCAAACAAAATCGAAATGTGATTTGATTTAATCTCAAGTGAAGAACCCTTAAAGGCATAAAACACTAATTGTGAATACATCTAAGGATTTGTTAAACTCCCCCCTTGAGGCAAGGAAAAATTAAAACTCTATGTTATACAATTGGCAAACTTAAGATAACTAATTTAATTAAGTACATCATTTCAATATACAAAGAAACAATAAAAACCCAACACATTTTACACAAAAACACTTTTACACTTGAAAAAAAAAAAACAAACAGCCACCCATATTTCAATGGCTAGGCTTGGCAGTTGGCTCAAAATCCAAAAAAAATTAAAAATAAAGGACTACAAGAGATCTTCTATCTTGTTTGTTTTTTAAATGTCGATTTTGTAATGAATGTGTATAGGAATTAAAAACCTATCCCCTCATAACCATACAAGATGATGATCAATACACAACACACTCCCCCCACACGAGGAGATGATGTGACACAATTATTTCCAATAATAAGCGAAATGTGGAATACAAAAAAGGAATAATTATGAAAAATCGAATCGAACAACCACAACTTCATATTATATTGAAAACAAATGAAAAAACAAAAACACAACACAGAATTAAAATTAATGAAATACTATAAATGTATGTGCTTCATTCTTAAAAAAACCAAGAAAATAAAAAAACGTAAATAAAAACAACAATAAAAGTAATACGATATAAATTAATGCATTTTTAATTATTTTTGATATTAGTATATAATGCTATAGTATAAAGTAGTTTTGAAGGACTTTTAAACCATATTGACAAATACTGAAAGTATTAAATGCATTGAATCCTTCAAACAGCCATTGCTTTATTATCATCCTAAAAGTATGCTACAAAATAAATCTTATGAAAAGTAACTGAAGGATTTTTAGCGAAATGCTATAAGAAGTGAATCCAAAACTATAATTCCAAGTCGATGGTAAATATCTGATGGTCCTCAATAATAGGAACATCTTTTCATCATTACCTAGTGACCATATTTCTGTCTTGAATAATGAACATTTTTAAATAATTCTTAATTAAAATGGGTATATTTGGACTTCTCAGTCATTTATTTAAAGAAAGATATTCCCCATTGCCTATGTGGTCTAAATAATATTAAGTAACTATCAGAACAGTAAAAACTGTGAAATGCCTACTGGTCTTCTATAATAAATTCCTCGGGTATTGCTCGATTACCGAAATTAAAAAAACACACACACAAGTAAAAAACTGTCAGTCGATGTAGCCGACAGATATATGGTTTGCGGAGGTCTACGGAATTACACACAGGTTTTATTATTTGCTTCATATAAGGTATATGTTTTTATCAAAGAGGTTACGAATTTAATGCCGATCAAATAATATAGACCCTTTTGGATGGAGGTACCGGAAGGAGTGGACTACTGGGTCCCATCTTCGGACTTGATATTGGGTTGGTAAAGATAATTGGTTGTGTAAGGTTGAAATTTCACATTCCATTCGCCTGATATTGCATTCAATTATTGAAAATTTTGACCATTCGAGGGGAAGGTACCAGAAGGAATGGACCAATGTGTCCCATCTTCAAACCTGATCTATTCTTGGTAAAGATAATAGGCTGTGCAATGTTTAGTTAGAATCATACATTCCATTCGCCTGACATTGGATTTACTAATATTGAAAATTTTGAAAATTTATGGGGTAGGTACCAGAAGTAGTGGACCAATAGGTCCCATCTTCGGACCTTATCTAGACTTCGTAAATATAATGGGTTTGGTTCACATCGGACATTCCTTTCGCTTGATATTGGGTTTACAAATATTGAAAATTGTTACCATTTGTGGGGGAGGTACTAGGAGTGGACCAATGGGTCCCATCTTCCTACTTGATCTTGGCTTAGTAAAGATAATAGGTTGTACAAAGTTTCATTAAAATCGGATAATCCGTTTGCCTGTTATTATAAATTTTTTAGCACAATTTTGACCATTTTGTGGGGGAGGTACCATAAGGAGTGGACCAATATTCCCCATCTTCGAACATAAACTAAGTTTGGAAGAAATATTAGGATGTGCAAAGTTTGGATGAAATCGATTATTCCCTTAGAGAGTTATCGTGTGCATCACGATCACAGACGGACGGACGGACATGTGTAATTCGACTCCAAATTTTCTGAAACGGATTTGGTCCAAAGAAAAATGTGGTATAATACCAATATTTTGTAACAACCGTGTTCAAGAAAAACGAAATGAAATCGCTGTGTTGACCATTAAGTGGCGTTGCCGGTATGCTGTCGTTTAGCGCGGCTATGGCTCGTCGGATTGGGGGTTGGTTCTTGCCACTTGCAGATCTTTTCGGTTGAACAAACAAAAAAAAAATCATACCGGACTTCAAACTAAATCAAAAAGGGGGTAAAAAGAAGCCTGAAACATGTCAACAAAAAAATTAAATAGAAGAAAACGTTCACCTAACTGCAACCAAATCCCAAAATAACATTAGTTTTCTTCACAGAAACAGTGCTCCTGGCGGCTGACCAGCCAGGAGATAGCCCTCCCTCCGAGAACACCTCTCGCCATGACGTCTATTCATACTGGACGTCCCAGATCTGACCCTTGACTTACCATATTTTATCCCATCCCCACCACCTTTTTAATAGGGCTTTAAGCCGAAGACATTTTTATCTTTTCAAGTTTAATCCAGTACATATTTATTAAAACTATATTACATATTTGGCAAAAAAAACAATTCATTCCATCGTAATTTGAATCAAAATCTAACAATTTACAGCGAATTATAATATAAAAATTTCAGAAAAAAACAAAGAATTGCCAATAAAAATCAATTTTCGAAAGTATTCTTTTCTTTTTGTACTTTTAGGGCTTAACGGCGGGCACCCAGAGTGTAGAACCTTGACGGCAGCTTGTGACTAAGGCTTTTTCCCAAAACGTAAGTATGTACGAATTAGTTCGTGTTTCGGCTTTTTAATTATATTCCTCGGTCAGAATGTAAATAATAATTTTCTTGCTTTCAATTCCAGATGAGGACGAACAAAGGAATGTAGGTCGATACCACATTAAATCGACGATCTAAACAATGCCTGGTAACCTAACCTTGAATTGAGCTCAGTTCAATGTCGCGTACCTGCATACCAACACAAAGTAAGTAAAAAATTTAATATTAACTCGTTTGTTCACCCTTTTAATTTATTTATTCTTTTCAGGAAAAACCGCGGAATTTAATTATGTAGCTTAGTCGTCCGTCTGTCTGTCCGGAGTTAAATAAGTTTCAGTGTCAATTGGGAATGATACCAAGCCACGCTGGAGCAGCAATGGCGTAAACTCTGCGCCTCCCTCGATGGATTGGATGGGCGATGGTGTGGCTTGTAGGCTCCAATTCTTCATGAATTTTTAGGTTTAAGATTTATATTCATTGCTTTAGAATTTTAGTCAATTGTTTGGGTTTTTTTTCAATATTGTTAAATTGTTTTCAAACTTTGTTTAATTTTAAAAAAAGTTCAATTTTCTTTTAATTTTCAATTTTTTGAAAACTATTTGTTTTGTTATAAATTTCCTTTCAATTTTTAGCCTTTTTTTTCGTTTAATGTTGCTTAATTATTTAAAGGCTTCAGATTTTCTTTAAAATAGTTTGTATTTTGTGTTGTTTGTGTATGTGTTTCAACAAATAAACCAGATGAATTCACTTCTCAAAAACTTTGGTTGTTTTTTTTTCTTCGACGGTTACAGGGAGCCACGCATCCAATCTTCTTCGCAGGCAAAATCAAAAAGGGCAGATTTTTCTTACAATTTTTGCCAGGAAATTCTGGCTGCCATTTTCCTCGTTTAATTTTTTCATTTTCTTCTTATATTATTCCCTAATATTGACATTTAAGTAATTGGAATAATCAGCTGTTTCCTAGTAATTGTTCTTCTTCTTCTTCGAGCTATCAATTATTTTCAGGGTTACCCCTTTTAAAGGCGCACACCACAAAGCCAACTATCCTGCTGATATCCTTATCAAAGGATAGGAGGAAAAAAGTGCGACAAAAATATAAAAAAAATAATTCAAAAATTTCATCTTGGGTGTTTTTAAAAGTATCGGTATTCGAAATCCCTACTTTTATTGTGATCTGGCAACTCTAAATATTAATTCCGAGCAAAAATTAATTATTTAAAACATCATGATTTATTTGCCACGTGTAAACGGTTAACCTCATATATGGTTTTACCATGTGTAAACCGAGTGTAAGAATGACGTCATACGCCAAGCGTTACGGTTTAGTGCGGCGCAATATAACATATGGGCAACTGACGTTTATGAATGAAAGCGTTGGGGACGCTTAAATGGCAACATTATTTGGCGGCTTGGATCACGGACGGACGGAAAAATGGAGTATGCAGAAATTATTAAATAAAATGGTAAGTAGAGTGTAAAAAAAATTAAAGTGAATATTAAAATAATTAAATAAAAATACGTGAAAGTGTCGGGTTATTGTAATAAGTGAGTGTAGTGATTGTGAAAAGTGCTTAAAGTGTAGAAAATTAATGAATGAAAAATCCTATTGTAAACATACAGTGCGGGTGTATGTGAAAATACTACAAGTTCAAATAATGAATGAAAAATAAAATAAAAAAAAAATAATTCTAAAGAAAATTATGATTAAATAGAAAATAACATGAAATAATTTAATAATAAAAATTATAAACTCAAAAATAAAATGAAATTAAACAATCCAGTGTGTGTGAGTGTATGGGTGCATATAGTGTAAAAGTAAAATGAAAAATTGCACTTATTCAAAAACTTGAGCTTGGCGGAAACCTAGTGTTCGAAAACTTAGAAGGTTTTCGAAAAATATGAGTGATAATAAAGTACTAAACTTTGAGTGATAATTATGAAAGAGAATGATAATGAGCAAAAAGAATCAATCTAAAAATGGAAACTGCGGAATCAAAACAAAAAGTGAAAATAAGTGAATGAAAATATAACTATGAAAAACTACTAAGCAAAACAAAGAAATAAAAAAAGAAAATATTAATAAAAAAAATTAATTTAAAATGAACCAAGACAAAATAAAGAGGTAAACAATAAAAATAAATATTTTTGTGTTAAAGGTGATCGGACGGACAAAAATTATTTGTGAAAATATTGTGTTTATTTTTTTTTTTAATGACGAAAAGTGCAAAGAATTTAATTGAACTAAACATACTTGTTCTAAATTATATTTTGATTTTAACTTAAAGTTTCCTCTTTTTCACAGATAACTAATACTTTCTCTTTCTGTTCTTATCTTTTCAGATTGGTGACTGTCTACGCTTGGATTACGTAAGATT